AGAATAGAAAAGGAAGAACAGGACGGAGCGACATTTCTGAAGAGGTTGTAGCGATGTTTCGTGGCCGAGAGGAAGGTGTGTGAAGAATGGAATGGACAAGAGAAACAGTAAGAAAGTATGATGGAAGTACTTTAGGATTTTCAAAGAGGGAAGATGAAATCTAGGGACGCGTCATTCGAGCGTGAAAAGCTCGATGGCTGTCCCAGGAGCTTCGCGAAGGAGTTACCTCGTCTACCTTTTTTACACATTTCATAAAGAAGCTGTCGTCGTATTGTCGATTTATCTATTTTTTTTCCCCGCTGATAGTCTAACCGTAATAGTTCGATCGCAATTGCTGGAATTTATTTGTCGCAATTACTTTGTGATAAGCGATCTTTCGTCCAAGAGCAGTTTTACTGAGAGAAAAATATTTCGTATTTATATGACTATAATTGCATGATAAAGTAGTTATGGCTAGGAGCTTTATTTTTATAATTATTATTGCTATGTGTTAGTATTAATAATTGTATGTAGATCTATATACCAAACAAAATATGTAGTTGGCCCTAATAATTATAATTTTATAATTCATAGTCATTTTCGGTGCCAATTAAATTTTTTTGTAAAGAACTATTAAATACAATTATTTTTATTATCATTATAATGACTATAAAAATCGAGTTCCTAACCATAATTATTTTACTATTTGATTATAGTATAATAATAAATACGAAACACTTTTACCTCTCTCAATCAGTGTAAAGATAACGAAAAATGGGTCGCTTCTTTTTCCAAAAGAGAGAAAAATACGCACGCTTTTTACGAAATTTCCGAAAATTGTAACCACGTTATCATTTATATAAATCAAACACGTAACTCCATTCGGGAAAATCCGTATTAACGGATGAAGGTTTTTTAATCAAATTTGTGTCGAAAATTCGAGGGATTGAATTTGCAGCCTTTCGGCGCCGCGCGATTCAATTGCAAAATTGATTAACGGCGTAATTAACCGTATTTATGGTATCCGCATTTGGTTGCATCGAAACAAAAATTGGTATTTGGTATTTGTAACTATATTTCGTGTTATTTATGATTATTACTACTATAATATTGGTATAATAACTATGTATATAGTTTTACCAACAAATATTAAATTATATATACACTAAAAAAAGTGATCTGGTTGGATTAAATAGTAATTCTGGTGGAAAATGGACGAATCGGAATTTTCTGTAAGTTACTAGAATTCTACTTGAGATATCTAGAATTCTAACTGATATAATTATTCTGGTAAAAATATAAGAATTCTCTAGATTTTATCAGAAATATTGTGTCAACTAGAATTCTAAATAAATTTAACCATTAACCATAGAAAATTCTGATTCGTTCATTTTCAACCAGAGAAATTTTTCAATATAATAACTACAGCTATCTTACGATAACAATAACTATGATTATATAGTCATTTTATTCGGTTGCTGATTAAATATATCTGTTGATAGAACTATATATATTATTATTATTATAGTAGTAATAATCATAATTACAGTAACGTGTAATTATAGTTACAAATACGAAAAATTTTTCTCTCAGTGAACAAGGCAGTCGCGAAAAATTCGAGCGAGGTCCAACCACTGGAAAATCGGCGAATCCAGCGAGTGCAAACTCCGAGAAGGGATCGTCCGACAGCTAAACTAATTAGCGCTGACGTATTACAGGCGCTTACGTCGTACCACGCGCGCCCGTGGCGAGACGCTACGGTAATAACGAATTACACAACGATGTTCGTCCTGCGCTTTCATCGCGCAGCGGAACTCTGTTACAAGCTCCCGGGTCCGTATCCTCGTGCGCGCACGTACTCGCACCGCGATAATTAATTTCCCATTAAACGCGGAGCGCGGTTGCACGGTAACTTAACACGTGCACCGTCGTGCAATGCCGTCGTCCGGCAAAAGCCGGCTGATGTTGGATTATTAACGAGCCCACGCCGTGGACCGTGTCTCGCCATGAGTCACGTACCCGCGACGCGATCTCTTATCGGTGTTCCGATAACAAGTAACGCGCTCCGGGGCCTCACGTCTCTCGTATCGCGAGTCACGTTTCGCATTATCTGTTACGAGTCGTGCGCGCATTTTGTCACAGCATTACTCGCGCCGGAGCTACCGGACGAGACAACGAAACAATCAACTTCCCACCTGTCGAGAAAAATTGCGAGCGAACGATATAGCGTTCGTACGCAGTCCAGCAATTCGAATCTCCGAACTTTCCTTGGGCGCGAATCGTTTATCTCCGTATGGCAGACCCAGCCGTTTCCCTAATCGGCAAAAAATTGCGGAACACGCCGCGCCAATAAATCTGATTTCTATATCGAAGGTACTGCCGCACGCGACTTTGTTCGCGAGTCCGTGAGATTTATCGGGCACGGCGCGCCTGTTTTTGTCGGCACGGTCTTGAATAAAAATATCGCTATAAGTACGATGTGACGACGGGTGGTGTTACGTCCCGCTGGCAAGTGTATAGACGATGAAGAAAAGATTTGCGTCGTTGCGAAGAACGTCTTGAGAATTCGAAATCATATTCCTAAAATCATTGGCCGTGTTCGAGCCGAACGAAGTCGCTAGCTTGCTCGCTGAGCAATTGAATGTGCACTATTAAATTCATACATTGAGAGAAAAACTGTTTGTAACTGTGTATAATTACCTATTACTATAATTATGATTATGACTACCATATGTATAATTTTATCAATTAGTGTATAGTTGTGGCAACCGAAAATAACTATAATTAGATAGTCATTTTGGGGGTTAGCCTATCCACAATGTCAGTACAGGATTTCGATTGTCTAGCGCAACCAAAAATTGCTGCTGCAGCCAATTAAAAATGCTATGCCATATTTAACCATCTAATTTGCTGTGGCAGCCAGTCTTTTCTTTCAATGTACTATTAAATTCATAATGCCAAATTATATTCAATTTGAGGTATATTTTTAATCATTTCTATAGGTTGCCACTGCTCCTAGCATTAAATTGTTAATTTGAAAAACAATGGCGTTAAACAATTTAACTCCAAAATATGTATTAAAAAGTCAAATTTAATTATTTTAAGTAAATATTATGTATATATGTTAATGTAGACGTTGTTTACTTTGAAACTAAGCGATTCAATCACAGAAATCATCTGATTTACATTTTGATACACATGGAAATTAAACATAATAAAATGTCATTTAACTCAAGAGATTGGATTGTTGCTCCTTTGATATCTAACGAGTATAATTGATTGGATCTACAAGTAATATCATCATGTTAAATCTCTTGGCGAGCGGGCTAACTTTTTTGTTGACTTGAACACGTCCATTAAAGCGGCTAATAAACGCCCGTAATAATATGTTAGCGCAATTATACTTTCGTTGCACTGCAAAAGTGATTATAACGTAACGTGAATAAACGATACAATTTCCGTCTTTTCATCGCGACTCGGAAATTAACGCCTGCGGGAAATTCGTTGCCTTCACGGGGACAACCGCGAGATCACTGATCACACGTACACGTCGAGATACGACATACATACTATATGTCCTCGTGCGAATTAATGCGGCAAGCTCCATGCATGTATATAAATTTCTGACACGTAAAGTGTTTTATCGTCGTTGCTCAACATAGTACTCGCGTAACCCGCGTTAATTACTTTTGCTTTACGACCGGTGTGAGACGGAAAAAAAGGGAAATCCGGGAAAAGTGGTAGCGGACGGTGCGAATTACTCTCTTCTGAAGAATCATCGTGATGCAGATTACCAGTGTCCTTTTACGTTTACTTTTCGAGAGCTTTAACAGCCGGTCTTATCACGACGCGGTTTCATGACGAAGCTTTTACGCGCTTACAGGGATTTGTATTACGTCCTGGAACATTCTGTACAATTCTCATTTATTCGTCAAATATCACGACAAATCCTTTTTATATTGTTAAACATTTATATCGGAAATTGAGTACGTTTTTCAATTACTGACGTTATATAGAAGGAAGATTATCTTTATTGACTGAAGCGACACTTGGAAACGCGGTCGAAGTTGTCGGATAAATTAATTGAAGCCGGATAAAATAATCTCATCGCAGTACCCGTCTGTCCGATCATCTCTCGACGATCCGCGCGTTCGAGGATCTGCGAATCCAAAGAGCTTAGTCGATGACTTTGGAATCGCTCGGCCTTCGAGAATCATTGGCTACGTTCGGTTGAAAAACTAACTTTGCACAACTGTTGTAAGATTCTTTAAGTAAGTAGGTAGTCTAAAATTCATTTTATCAATTAAAAGAACACAGGGAATTATAACTATTTAATCTTATAGTTATATTTTTTATTAGTACACCGAGAAAAATGATGCTAATCAACAGCATCATTTTTACTGAAAATAATCTTGTTGATTCACAATAACAGTATTAATGAAACAAGTAAAATTTTATTAAAACAAGATAACATATTTGATTCATTAATGGTATTATTGAATCAACAGTGTATATTATTTACAATGTATATTTTATTATAGTTAACTTTATATCAATTGTATCCTTATAAGGTAGAGGAATGTAAAAATAATGAACTTTAAGACTTCTGGGCATATCTAAGCGATACTTTTTATATATTTTCCTTTTTCAGAGTAAGTTTTTTAAGAGAATCACATTTGGGGTGTGCTGTGGCCACCAATCTATTTAATGGTTAATACTATTAACGGTTAATATGATTGATAAAAGGTTGATATAATTAATTCACACATTTAGATCCAATAAGGAATTAAGGATACAAATCAATCATATTAAAAAATTTTACAATTGCAAAGCCGCTCTTTCTGCTGAACGCAGCTATTGATCTGAATGTCCGCGGATGTGAGGATCCGTGGCCGCGTGAACTCGTCGAGCTCCAACTCGAAGTCTCCCAGGCCGATTCTTGGGAAATCCTCACGTCGATCATCAAGCCCCTGGAACACCTCCCACCGTAATGGCTCCCTCGAGCATGTTTCTTTCGGCAGATCGCCTGTGCCGCATGGGAAGAGCTTCCCGTAACTACACCATCGGCTGGGCCATGCACTGATGATGATCGCCATGACGATGGCAACGACGACGACGAAGATGACGACGACAATGATACGCTGATAAGCACGTGTGATTTTCTCGCCGCGTCAAACGCACCGCGCCGTAAAACGGCCTCCACACGCGTACTCACATACGCACATGCATTCACGTAACATACGTCATTACACAGCGCAGTGTCGAATCTCTCGGATTCAATCTCGGAAGCGTACCATTTTTGTACTTGTGGAATTCTAGATCCTCTAGCTAGATTTGTTCTGAAATCGTATTAACGGACAATTGAAATTATTATACGCGGAGAAAGTCGGAAGCTTCGTATGACAAGTTATATGTGGGTGTCTCTCGTCTTTGTTGTTTTAAATAAATATATAAATATAGATATATGTATACATACATTTATATAAATATATATTCCTGCATCACATACAAAGCTATACCGGGCGATTAAAGATACTCCAATTACGCGTCATGATGTAATAAATTTAGATCGTCGAATAAACGCGTATTGATAATGTTAATTAATATATACATATATATATATGTATATGTTATACATGTTGCAACGTATATATAATTGTTAAGTTGTCGGAGATAAGTTTCACGGAGGGAACGATAAGGGAAGTGAAAGGAGCCGAAGGGATAACTTTTTTAATATAATATACATGCCGTTTCTTAACTGGATTATTTAAATATTTATACGAGGAGGGAAGGAGTTATTTCATGAATTAATTTGACCAAACTTTCGACCGAGTGTGACTGAACGATCGGGTACAAACTGTTCTGTGTTCTCCATTTTCTTTCTTCTTTTGTCAAAATTATCTCTTTTTACCGCTGTATCTTAGATAGAACGATTCGTTATTTCTTATGTATCATATTAAGCGAGTAGCTATTCTGTATTCAGAATAGCTGTGTCTAAATGATTTTAATGCATCGCTGTGGCTGAGGTAAGTATAGGAAAATTTGTAAACGTAAAGATTAAAAGACAGAAGAATCGATACGATTTTATTTTTAATTTAATATTTCTATATTCTTTAATCCTCTTCACAGTGCTTTTTTAAAATTATTTATCACTTCTATAAATAGTAAATGTTGGAATGTCTAAAGTCGATTAATTAATTGCGATTACATAAATTAGATGCAAATAAAGAACGGATACCACCAACCCGATCGTTCCGCTCGGCGTGCAATGTCACTGTAATATTCACTAAGGTACTAACTCGTCGTTCAAATTAATATTAATTTAGCATATACATGTATACAATCAATCTGTACATATTGTCTTCAATATCGTTTCTAATCAATCGATGTGACCTACGTGTTGTAACGAGAGAGACTGGATTTATTATAAACGTGCGCGAGAGAGAAAGTGACGTAATTGTCTCTGTATGCATGCGGGTGCGAACGAGAGGGAGAGAAAGGAACGCGAATACGTGGGTGAAGATAATAATGTGGAGAAGTCTTACTGATGTAAATCACGCTGATTGTCATAGGTACGTTGTATGTATTCGGGATAACTGAATTCACGGAGAATATGTAGATCAAAAGTACTGCTGCGCCGTAGAACAGAATTGTAGAACTGTAGAAAGAGATTTTATACTCTCACGCTGTGTGAGGATATGCGATCAGTCTGAATTGTCGCAATTAATTCGACAGATTATAATTTAAGTAACCCGCACTCTGTCTTCGCACTTTTGGAACGCATACCGACTTTTTACTTTAGCTCCATCAGTTTCAAGAATCTTCGAGTTTCGCCGATCGACTTGGGCTTTTCCGTATCTTCTACGCTTTTCCACGACGTGCCAAGTTCTTCTTGGTAAGCGTAGGTGAGTCGTGGTGGCGATAAACGGGAAGAAATGAAAAAGATAATGAAATCGATAATGAAAGAATATTGTAATTCAATTCGCACGTGACCTTCCGGCGATCTTTATTGTAAACGTATTAATCGCATATGTACTCTGTTACACGCGTCACATTACGTACACGTACGACACACGAAATCCAAATGCACGCGCACGAACAAAGCCTTGCTGCTAGCCTTATCTTGTAACACGAGGTTTCAAATAAACTACTGAAAAAACGTATCTTACGCCTGTGTCTTACTTTCACCTAAATTGACCTAAATCCGCGAAATATACACGGAAGGAACAGTTTTGCTGAAGTGTCTAAAAATTTAGTTAGAGGCAAATCTGAAAATAATGTCGTTGGAGTATAACAATAATTATGCAGAACGCTTAAGCTTTGATAACAATGTTGCAAAAAGTTTTCACATTCTAGCAACTAACGTTCTACATAATTATTTTGATGGTCTAAACAAAATTATTTTTAAATGTATTCAGATAAATTTTTTTATATTTCAGCAAAGTTGTTTTTTCGTGCGCGAAAGAGAAATTCATGCACCGAGAAAAAGAATCCTAAAAATATATTTGTGAGAAATATATTTATATTTAAATAAATATTTATTTAAATACGGGCGAAATAAAATTTTATTCCTAGCAAATAAGCCATCTATTTTATTTTTTTGCAACTAATGAGATATATTTGACAGAAATGTATATTTCGTTATCACAATCAAATTTCGTAAGTAACATTACTTCGCAATGCTTCAACATTTTTCTCTCAGCGTAAAATATGAAATCGTATACTGATAAAAATTCTAAATTTTAATAAATCATTTGATTGAATAGTACCAACTAAATATATTTATTTGATACAAGAATCGTTAATTTTAACAACCTTTTTTTATTGGATAAATATTTATTTACTGTAAGTAAATGTTTAGTTGCACTGAGAAAAATGGTCTAATTGGATTAAATAGTAATTCTGATGAAAAGTGAACGAATCAGAATTTTTTGGTTAAATTTACTAGCATTCTAGTTGAGATAATTAGAATTTTGATTAATATAATTATTCTAGTAAAAATAAGAATTTTAATAAATTTTACCAAAAATATTGTATCAACCAGGATTCCGGTTATCTTATAGCGTTTTCGATTGGGGTGCACTGGCTGCACTCAGTGTCAAGAGCGTGTTCGATTGGCAGTGCCAATGAGCACTTGGCTAGTGTCACGTGTTCATTTGATCGCACGACACTCGCGTAGTGCGCACTAAGTGGCACGAGATATTTTGACGGTGCCAGTTCAGTGCACGTTTTATCACAGTTAAGGATATACATAGGGACAAGCAAATCTGCGCAGTTGAATTGAAAACAGGGTCTTGTTCCTACTCTTAATATCTTTTACTGTAGTTTTGTAACATTTTGTTGAACATTGCTTCAAAGTGAACAAAACTGAGTTTCAGCTTTAGCACTGAAAATCTTGGCGTATTCTTTTGAACTTGCACTATTCAGTGCAACCCATGGAACTCGTCCAGTGTTGGTGTGAACTGAGTGCGCACTAACTTTTGCCCAATCGAAAACGCTATTAACAAAAATTCTAACAAAATTTTACCAGAGAAAATGCTAATTCGTCCATTTTCAACCAGAAATTTTTTCAGTGTGGTATTATATATTTGAATAAATATTTATATTAAAATTTAATACATTTTTCTCAGTGTAATTACCGGTTTCTTTTTTATGCGACGGTTGCATTAATATCGTTCTGCATCCAGTTTCAATTGAGATACGATCTTTGCATCGCAGAAGACGATATATAAAATCATGTGACCAAATACAAGACTTACCTCTCACGTGTCGACGCATTCCGCGCCGTACATATCTTCGATCCCGCTGGGGTCATCGTGGACTGTTCAATAAACGCCTTCCGATCTGTGTCTTGTAGGTATTCTTTATTCTTTGTAAAATCATACAGCGAAAGCGATCGGATCTACACAGTGTAGTGAAGCGAGATACAAGTGAAGTGAATGTTCGCCGAACGAACGACGGCCGAGTCGGATTTTTGAAGCTGTTCGTCCCCCGTCTCGATCAATCTCTATTTCGAGGGGGAATGATATTATTCTAAAGCGAAAAAAGAAAATTTAGAACTTTTTATTGTGATTGATGAATCGGAACAGGTGTTTGAAGTCTTAAAGATATTACATCGTTTAATCTTTCATTCGAATATCTGAACACTTCTACGAATCCATAGTCTTCTTCGATCTCTAAATTAATCGATTTAAATCAATGGATTTCTTTGGATCTTTTAATCTTGGGATTTTTTTTTATTTTTCGGATTCTTATCTACAGACAGAAAGAGTTGACACGCCGCCAATTCGCCCGCAAACTCGAAGGTACATACGCTCTCCTCGACTTTTTCCTTTGCAAATTTGATTGGCCCGAACAGAGCAAGGTTCCTTCCATAAAATTCGCTAAAAACGCCAGTCTCTTCGCATTGACAAGCGCGCACGTGACTTAGAAACTTAATAACTAATCCTGACAAAATACAGGTAATGCAAATGTACGTATATACCTAAGATCCTAATAAAAACTAGAAATCCTCTCATGATTAATTATCCAAAATATATGTTACCTAAAGTTGCCGTCAGGCTGGTGACGGCAATGACGATGATGGGCAATCAAATGTCCAGCGATGACAATTCATGATTCGTGTAGTGAAACAAATGCCTTTTATACAAATAGCTCTGTGGTACATAAAATTTGATTTCCCCTACTAGTATAAGGTTTATATAATATACATATATTTATATCATATACTTTTGTAATAGCTAATAAATAATAATTCTTAATAGTTCGTCAGTTAATTTCTGTGAAACCCGCCTATCCGGCGCTTAAAATACGAAATCGCTTACACTTTATATTTATATTTATATTTATATATTTATATTTATATTTTTATATATACGCTCTTCGTTCATTCGGAATTTTAAAAACCACGATCTCTCGCCTGCGACCTCCCGTCTTCTTTTATGTCACTTTACATACTCTATACTCTTACATATTAATGATTTACCGTAATGGTGTGTGGCGTGCTTAAGTTACTGGTTGCACTTACCGGTATCACCTGCCGCCAACCGGGGCGAGAGAGGAGGGGATATCGCGCTCCCCCCCGGTGGCCATAACTTTAAAAAGCTTAAAAACCCCGTACTTAAGCTAACGCGAACGTTAACGTTGCGGCGCGTGGCGCCGCGTTTCATCGAGCCTGCTCTAAAAAAAAAAACGCGCTGCCGTTCCTTGGCTATGCACGTAAATGCAATCAGTAGCGTATCCTTGAAACCGTCGGTGCCTCGAATCCTCGGGTCAGCAGTCGCGAATCCCAGGGGAGCCCCGTTTCCGGTCATCAGGAGCTTCCGGAAGCGTCGGCACCCTGTAGGAACCGCTTCCGTCGAAAGCCTTGAGGATCCCAGGAACTTCGGATCGTCGAGTCTTTAAATAATCGGATACGAGTGCGAAACATGTTTACAACATGCGGCTCGAAATGATCGTGCGACGACGAGGACAGAGGGAACGTCTGCCTTCGTGAGAGACTCCTAAATGCGCGCGTGCATTTTGTGTGTACGAGTGTGTGTGTGTGTGTACATGCACTAAAAAAAAAGTATTTAATTTTAAGATATTAAATGTTTTATTCTTATCTCCGTTTTTAAACATCCAAGCAGAACAACAAGTCACGATAACGTCAAAATATTAAAATGAATCGGAAATGACTTTTAATAATCATCATTTTGGAGTCATTTTGACATCATCTTGATATCATAATGACTTGTTGTTCTGCTTGGGCACTTCTTAAAGATGTTTTAATTTAAAATTTTTCCTTTATAAACATCTTTAATCCTTTGTTGGTCATATTGGGGAGTCAATGACCTCTTTAACTAATAATTCTTTTTACTTCATTTGGGGTCATTTTGATCCCAGAAGAAGTGTAATTACGAAGAGTTAAGTGTTAAAAACAGAGACAAGAATAAAACATATTAACATTTTAAAATTAAACACTTCTTTTTTTAGTGTGCTGTATGTGGTACAGGAAAACGCGTGAACGCGAAACGTCGATGCTGGGCGTTTGCAGTCGTTCTCGCCAGTGTTCTCGCGGAACAGAACAGCGGAGGAATAATAACAGGGATGATAAAAAAAGACGACAGCAGGGACTGTGATCGATGCCGCGATTAACGTTCGTTGGCAACGGCGTGTCAAGGGTTTTGTCAACGATTAACGTCTTCAACGAAACGTTTCTAGGAATGTGTGAGTATCTTGTTAGAGATTTTGATCTATAAACGCTGCCGAAATCTGAATATCCGCAGACCCATAAATGCCGAAATCATTTTATCTTTTATAGTCTAAATATCGCGCACTTTTGAAACCTAATCGCAGATCGATTACTTTCATGAGGATCCTCAGACATTCGGATATCCGGCAAACGATTCACGCAATTGTCTATTCATTTCTACGAGGATCACGGCTCTGGTCCTATTTGTAATCCTACAGTTAACAACTATTCGTAAGGATAGCTAAACTTAGCTGTATGTATTTGTTCGCTGTAGCTTTGCTTGCGAATTGGAAATCATAAATGCACTTCCTCGTAATCTTTCCTTTCACTTTTTTTTCGTGGGACCAATCGACCATCGTTCGCCAAATCCAGGTGGGGAAAGTAATTTGAATTTTACGTTTCAACAATATTAACCCAGGAGCAGTCATCTCATTTTTTTATGTAAACGATTACCTGAGGTGTTTTTATGCTTCAATTAAAAATCACCATTATATATATTGTTTGTCGATTTATTGGCATTTAAGAGCATTATAGATTTATTCACAATTTTTGGAAAAAATAAGTAAAAACCAGAGAAATATTAAACATTAAGTAGCTTATTATGAATATTTTCGATAGTATTTATAAAAAATAAAGATTTTTTAATTAATATAACTTTTATATATATATATAAGTTTCGATTGCGTATTTAAAGGTTTGTAATAATTATTACAAA